CCCCAGCCCCGGCCCCGCGCCACTTACCGCCGCTCCGGCCCCGGGAAAGGAAAGTAAAAGGGGAGGAGCGAGGCCAGGGGCCTAGGCCGGGAGGGAGGGAGCCAGGCAGGGCGTCTCCTCCTCCCCGCCCCGCGGGAGTGCCAGGCGCTGGAGCGCGGGAAGCTGCTCCCGGGCGGCCCCTGGTCCAGCCCGCCCAGCGCGGCGCCAGCTTCCCGGGCAGCGTTACACCCGGGCGAACAGCACAGAAACCGCGGGGTGGCCGCCGGGCCCAGCCCCTGCTCCAGCAGCCGCGGCTCCGAGGTCTCTGTATCCCAGTTCGCCCTGGAGCCGAGCCCTGCCGTGCCTGAGGCCGCGGCGCGCCTAGCCTCGCCTCGCGGGCTGCGCTGGGGAGACTTGAGGGCATGAAGGCAAAATGCACGTGACCGGCACGCTTTAAAAACCCACCGGGCGACTGTCTACATGGGATTCAGCATTTCATACTTCTTTCCATGAACGCCCTGGGGGACCGTCAGCGCTCTCCTGCAGATTGATGTCTAATTCCTGGACAATCCTGGAGGGCTGGCAACCCTCATGCAGAAAAGGACCTGGGGGTTACATTGTAACCCCCAGGTCGTGTTGCCTTATCAGCGGGTGTGATCCAGCCCCTGCTCTGGCTGGGAAGAAGGCTAAGGGGGGACTGTAGGGGTGTTGCCAGCAGACAGAGAAGTGCTTCTTCCCCCCTACTCGGCGCTGGTGACACCTATGGTAGCCATCATAGAGGATGTTCTGGTTGTCTGCTACTCTGTTCTCTATTGATATGAACCCCAGCACCTTTATGTCCTCTATGTTTCTTTTCAAGAGAAATTTTTTCTCTTCAAAAGAAAAATAGAGGACATAAAGGTGTCCGGTTTCGTATCAGTAGGACAGAGGACAATTGGACTGTCCTCCTTGATGGCCACCGTAGTGACACCACATCTGGAGTACTGTGTCCAGTTTTTGGCTCCCCACTATAGAAAGGATGTGGCCAAATTGGAGGGAGTCCAGTGGAGGGCAATGAAAACAGTGAGGGGCATGGGTGACTGGTGCCTCCTAAGCCAGAGGGGACACTTGCCTCCCCAGCGGCCAGTCAGCAACCGGGGAGCCAATCACGGCAACCCAAAAGCAGCATTCCCTCTGAACTGGCCCTGAGCGGGAATGCTGCCCAAAGGGCCAGGGATGCACCCGGGTTCTCCTGGCGCCCCCACTCCCCAGCCAGTGCTCTCAGGGGGTGCACCAGCGCTCCCATCTGCCGGCCGCCTAAGCAGGGGATGCTGGCTGTAAGGGGATGCAGCAGTGCTCTCAGGGTGCATGTGCACCCCCATGCACGCCCTACATGTTGCCACTGGTGAGGAGGCTGGGGAACGGGACTTCTGAGGAGAAGCTGAAGGAACTGGGTTTATTTAATCTGGACATGAATGGTGCGTGCCCCTGGCAGCTGCGGGGGCACAGTGGCAGTGAGCAGGGAGCTCCCGCAGATGCCACGGGGCGTGGTGAGTGCCGACAAGGGTTTGCGACCACCCACAGCTGCCGCTGGCAGGAATTGCAGACCACCTGCAGATGCTGCCTTTTTGTAGAGGGTGCACTGCCATACTCAGGGGGTGCACATGCACCTGCGTGAACCCCTTATGCATTGCCCCTGAGTCTGGAGAAGAGAAGACTGAGGGGGGTTTAATAGCAGCCCAGAGGGTCGTTCTGTAGATCAGTGGTCTCCAAACTTTTTTGATTGCGCACCCCTATCAGTAAAACATTTTTGAGCACCCCCCGCCAGATATATATTAACCGGCCACATGTAAACTGCAATAGAAGTTCTAATATTTTCTTCCTGCACCCCAATGGATCGTCTTGCGCACCCCCTGGGGAGACCACTGCTGTAGAGGATGGAGCTCAACTGTTTTCTGTGGTCGCAGATAGGTTGAAACAGCGTCAAAACAAAACTGGTGGCAAAATTTTGCACAGCCCTGTTTTGAGGCCAAAACAGCAAAATTGAAAGGAAACAGATATGGTTGAAATAGCGTCAAAACACAATGAGGCAAGTCGAAATGTTTCGCCGTTTTGACGGTGTTTCGACGTTTTGCCCATAGGCTATAATGGGGAAGGTTGAAACAGCCTATAACTTTGTAATTCCTGGCCAGATTTGGATAAAACTTGCACAAATGGTAGCCCCTTCTGGGGGCATAAAGTGTGCCAAGTTTCAAGGAGATAGGTTTAGGGGTGTTGGAGAAACTGCACCCCAAATTCTTGAGAGCCAAACTTGTGTCATGTGTATGTGTTAAGTCACAGCAGGGTCAAAACTACAGGAATGCTAGCCCTGCTGAGGCCACAAAGCCTGCCACATTTCAAGGCGATAGGTGCAGGGGGTTTGGAGAAACTGCACCCCAAAATCCTGAAAGCAAAACTCATGTCACGTGTATATGGTAAGCCACAGTGGGGTCAAAGCTGCAGGCTTGCTAGCCCCTGTGGAGGCCACAAAGCCTGCCAGCTTTCAGGGAGATAGGTGCAGAGGTTTGGGGAAACTTCAGCTCAAGTTGCGGACAAGCAAAACTCATGACATGGGTGACACTGTGTGTGTTAAGGCGCAGCAGGGTGAAAGTTGCAGGCCTGCTAGCCCCTGCTGAGGCCATGAAGCCTGCCAGCTGTCAAGGAGATAGGTGCAGGGGTTCTGGGGCCCTGCACCTCTGGCTGCTGACAGGCAAAACTTGTGACATGGGTGCTTGTGGGGAAGGGAAACTACTGCAGACCTGGCTGCTAGGCCCTGCTACGGCCACTAAGCCTGCCAACTGTCAAGGAGATCGGTGCAAGGGTATTCTGGGGACCTGCACTCCTAGCTGCTGACAGGCAAAACTCATGACATGGGTGCTTGTGCAACTGTTGCCTCTCATCAGGCAGCAGGACTGAAGATCCGCCATCATTTGCTACCACAGACCTGGGGGTAATAACTGACCACAGTATGAACATGAGCCGGCAGTGGGATGCTGTAGCCAGCAGGGCCAACAATATGTTGGCATGCATCAATTGATGCATCTCCAGCAAAACCATTGCAAAGAAGTGATTCTCTGGCTCTTCTCAGCATTGGTGAGATGGCAGCTGGAGTACTGCATCCAGTTCTGGGCTCCACATCTTAACAAGGCCGTGGTAAAGCTTGAGAAAGTCCAGAAAAGGGCTACCTATGATCAGAAACTTGCACAACAAGCTATACAAGAAAAGGACCTGGGACTCTTCAGCCTGAAAAAGAGAAGGCTGGGAGGAGACTTGGTAGCAGCTTAGCTTACATCAGAAGCGTACACCTAGGGCTCGGTGAACAACTGTTCACCAGGGCACCCTTGGGGAAAACTAGGAGTAATGGTCAGAAACTCCTGGAAGATCGTTTCAGGCTCATTTCAGTCTCAACATTAGGAAAAACTGCTTCACAACTAGGGCGTCCAGACTGTGACCATTACTCCACATAGCCTCCACAGGGGCTAGCGTGCCTGCAATTTTGACCCCACTGTGGCTTAACACATACACAGGATATGAGTTTTCCTCTCAAGATTTTAGGGTGCAGTTTCTCTGAACCCCAGGACCTATTTTCTTGAAACTTGGCACGGGTCATGCCCTCAGAAGGGGCTTCCATTCATGCAAGTTTCATCCAAATCTGGCCAGAAATGGCAAAGTTATAGTCTGTTTTGACCTTCCCCATTATATCCTATGGGCAAAAGTTGAAACAGGGATGAAATGGCAAAACGTTTTGACAGAATGAAATGGAACAGCAGTTTGTTTGACTAAATGATCTGAAGTCCCTTACAGCCCCAATTTTCTGATTCTAAGTGAGAAGGGAATGGCACAAACAAAACCCTGGTCTAACCCAGTCACCCACAGACTTGGCAAGATGAACCTATGGTCTGACCCACTAAATGGCAGTTCTCACCTTCCAGATTTTGTCCTATACCAGATGGAACTGACAGGGGCAGCTGTAGTTTGACCCTTTTCTCAATCTGTCTCTCTGCTTTTCAGTTCCAGCCCACAGGATCACCAGAACTGCTCTTCTATATTATCATTCTCAGCATCCTTGACAAAAGTTGCTTTTTTTCTCTTCTTTTGACAGATGTTTTATTTTGGCCTGAGTCTTATTAAAGTAGCAATAAGATCAAGAGTGTTTTACTGTGCCTTTGTAACCATCTTATAAGAGTTAAAAAGCATTCAGCTGGAATTGCTCAAGTGACATTTAAAACAAACATTTTTTTAGATCACCCAAGCACCTTAGAGCCTGAATAGTCATTTGTCTTGCTTTAATTTTTTATTTTTTATTGAATTAGACTCACTTTTTTATTTATACAAACAAATTTACCTGCAGTAATTTACAGATGAATATTCTCAGTATGGTAAGTTCAGTTGTACATTCATACAAAAGGTTCAGGTTACAGAAGCTACAGAAGCAAAGTGGGGCTGGTCTAGGATAGCAACAGCAGGCAGAGACGGCAGGCAGGGGCCTGCACCCTCCACTGGGAGTCTCTGTTCAGCAGCTACCATACATAAGCTACAATAAGCATTTTTGAATCAAGACAACTTACACTAAAGAGACACAAAGGAAATCTGGCAGTTGTAACTTTATTTACCCCCAATTTTTAGTTGCTATTACATAGGTTTCATATATGCAGTATACAGTATAGTATACAGTATGCATATAATGGGGCCTAATGAAAATCTGAGATCTCAGCTTCCATGAACATCGTTCACATGACACCTAGAAATGAAATGAACTGCTCTGGCACACACCTATAAAAAGTTTGTGCAATCAGTTCGTGTGCAAGTTTGATATTTCATAATACACAGTCCCATTAACTCTGGAAGTAACTCTTATCTCCTGTGTATCAAGGAAAAAAATATTTAAACAATGATCTTCCATATAGAAAGAAAAAAAAATTAAAATTCAGTTGTTTTGTGTTTCCTCACATTGTTCAGTTCCCCATCGGTAATCAGTTATCAAAAGGTCAGACTCTTGCAAAGTTTACAACACTTCCCAATTCATATGAGGCTGTGAGCATTGTAGAGAGACTCTCAGCATTTCTCTTTTGGGTCCAATCCAAATCATTGTGATGAATGAAAAGACTGCCATTGATTTCAATAACCAGTGGAATAGACCTTGTGCATATCTTTCTGACCTCTACAGAAAGTAGAGAGACATGCAATGATCCAAAGCCACTTATTTTATCTGGCCTTATTCACCAATCCCTAGTAATTACCACTAAAGATGATTACACTATTACAGATGGAATGCTATCCTTAGCTGGTAGTTTCTTCAATAGCAGGGGGTGACCTGTAGAATTAGCATTTTAGAAATACCTCCTATGAAGTATCTATTGACTTTTAAAATTTTCCCTTTTTTTTTTAAACTGAAGCTGGTAGGAATTTTTTAAACAGTACTGGTAGGAATTTAATTAGAGTGGATTGACAAATGTGTATGTGTCTCACACAAGTCAGTACCAATAGTCAGTAATTTATTATACCAATTCACAGGAAGTGATTTAGAAGCTAATGACCAAACAGAAGTTAAATGATTGATTTTTAATAATCACATTAATACCTTCCAGCCAGAAAAGGTCTTGCTCCACAGAAGTTAGTTAAGTAAAAAGCAAAAGTATAATTTCCTACTTTGCACCCCCATGGACTTTTAAAACAGACTGGAGAACTGAATGTACAACACTTAAAAACCAAGGGGCTCAATTCTGCAGCCTTAATATTCCTAATGGGAAGCTGCCCAACTAACTGGTTTCTTTTTTATGATGATTGGTAACAGGAGGATGTGACAAAATGAACTTTACCAACAGTACGATAAGGGGAAGAAAAGGGAAGAGGGGCTGGG